CGGACAAACGGGTGGATGGCATGGAATACAATGAGATGACCTTCTGTTCCGATGAGTGGACTGGAGCAGTGGATGTCAATGGAGGACGGACAAAATTCAAAATTTTTCAAATTTTGGAAAAAAAAAACCGAAAACGATTATGATGGAAATCGTTAGACGCCAGAAAATTCTACTCGACGTAATTGCAATTTTTTGGGAGATCCTTTGAAGTACGGACATTTTTTAAGACTGTTAATGGTTCCCTCTTTCAGTTGGAAAACGACCTGAAAACACTTGTAATTAGCAAATAATCAATTAATTAGTCTTAATCAAATTACTTAAATGTTCAGTTAATCAATTAATCAATTTACGCATCTGTTAATAAGCAAACTGGATGACTAATATTAATTACATAAACACCGAGTTAATCAGTTAACCAATTTTTGCAGGATCCCCATTTACGAAGCTGATGCTTAGGTAAAGCTGCGCAGGTAAAGCCGTGAGCTCTCAGCTTTAATTAACCAATTAACCAATGAATCCTCATGTGTGAAGTTGACGCTTAAGTAAAATTTGGGAGTGAATAAGGCAAAGCTGTAAGCTCTCAGCTGTACAGGTAAAGCTGTAAGCTCTCAGCTTTACCTAAGCATTAGCTTCATAAATAGGGAAGCCTACTGCTGCAGGTAGGCTTTTTCGATCAGTTGCCACCAATTATGCACACCTGGCAGTTACTTTGACCAGTGGCCAGCCTGCGTCCTAGTGGTCAGTTTGCTGACCATCTCATGTTATTCACTTTTTTCTTCTGAAACAACCATCAGGGCTGTTTTTTTAGTTCCCAGACATTATGAATGCACAGATTTCACACATTTAAAGTGGATGATGCATAATGCACAGAGAGACGTGTGTCTGTCTACACCCTGTGTGCACTGCGTCCTCATTTTATGGATCCGGAATGCGGAGGGACGAGGGAATGAGGTCCACTCAATGTGTGTGTGCACAACAACATCCACAACGGTGCCTGAGATGAGCGAACGCCCGTTCAATATTCATACACACATTCACACACACGCACACACACACACACACACTCACGCACACTCATCAATAGCTGTGCACCAGAGTTCCTGTCCAGGCTATTCTTGCATAGCTTTTGTTAATGTTATGTTTTTGTGGTCGAAGTTATGTTTTTATTTTCCGCTTAGAATACAAATCCTGAGGAATAAAGCGGGGAAGCGTCAAAATAAAGCTTATTTTGACGAAAATTTTGCTGAAATTCTGCAAGTACCACTCGCAAGCTAATCCATAAGGCTTTGGCAAGAAACAAGACACTAGGGAAGTTGCTTTATTTTGGCATGATTCGGGTAACGGTAAAATACATCGTTACAATGTCTGTTTTTTTTTTGTTTTTAAGTTTTTTAAAAAATTTCATGATTTTCAGATTTGTGGTAGCAACGGCACGCATGGCACTGTCACGAGAACAACGCGTTAGCCGTTGGTATTTTGGTGGTACCGCTTCGGCTGGTGCTGCAATGTGCACCCATCCACTTGATTTACTGAAGGTTAGCCAAAGCTGCACTTCACGAAAGTGCCAGTGCAGGGTGGAACTCAGACTGAGTCTCACCCAATACTTACTCCTCCCCAGCG